AGGGGGTGGTGTGAGCAGGGAGGAGAGGGGGCGGTGTGAGCAGGGAGGAGAGGGGGCGGTGTGAGCAGGGAGGAGAGGGGGCGGTGTGAGCAGGGAGGAGAGGGGGCGGTGTGAGCAGGGAGGAGAGGGGGTGGTGTGAGCAGGGAGGAGAGGGGGTGGTGTGAGCAGGGAGGAGAGAGGGTGGTGTGAGCAGGGAGGAGAGGGGGTGGTGTGAGCAGGGAGGAGAGGGGGTGGTGTGAGCAGGGAGGAGAGGGGGGTGGTGTGAGCAGGGAGGAGAGGGGGTGGTGTGAGCAGGGAGGAGAGAGGGAGTAGGCAGAAATGCCCAGATCCTGGACTTACTTTGAAAAGAGAACCAATTTGATGTAGTGAGTATGAGGTGTGACAGAAAGAGGTCAAGGATGACTCCAAGGTCTCAGTTCTGAGCAACCAGGAGAAGATGGGAAAGATAGTGCGAAAAGCAGGTTTGGAGCGGGAAGAGCAGAGATTAAAGCTCATTTTCAAATGTGTCAAATTTGAGGGATCTATTACACACCCAAGGTAGAAGACTGAGGAAGCTGCCTGAGGTCCAGAGTCGAGGTCCAGCCTAGACCAGAATTTCTAGCTTTAGCGCTAACGACACTCCGAGCTGGATCGTTCTCTCCTGGGCACTGGAAGATGCTGAGGAGCATCCTTGGCCTTCACCCACTGGTTGCCAGGATTCCCCTCCCTCCCGCTGTGACAACCACGAATGTCACACCAACTGTCCCCTGGGGAACAAAAATCACACCCGGTGGAGAACTACTGGCCTAGAGATATAAATTTGAGACTCATCAGAGTAAAGCCTTACAACAATATGAGGCCGGGTGCGGTGGTTCACACCTGTAATCCCAGCACTTTGGGAAGCCGAGGTGAGCAGAGCACCTGAGGTCAAGAGTTCGAGACCAGTCTGGCCAACGTGGTGAAACCCCATCTCTACTAAAAAAGTACAACAGCCGGGCACGGTGGCTCAAGCCTGTAATCCCAGCACTTTGGGAGGCTGAGGAGGGTGGATCACGAAGTCAAGAGATCGAGACCATCCTGGTCAACATGGTGAAACCCCATCTCTACTAAAAATACAAAAAAAAAAAAAAAATTAGCTGGGCATGGTGGCGCGTGCCTGTAATCCCAGCTACTCAGGAGGCTGAGGCGGGAGAATTGCCTGAACCCAGGAGGTGGAGGTTGCGGTGAGCCGAGATCGCACCATTGCACTCCGGCCTGGGTAACAAGAGCGAAACTCCATCTCAAAAAAAAAAAGAAAAAGAAAAAACAATTAGCCAGGTGTGGTGGTATATGCCTATAATCCCTGCTACTCCGGAGGCTGAGGCAAAGGAATCGCTTGAACCTGAAAGGCAGAGGTTGCAGTGAGCCAAGATTGCACCACTGCACTCCACCCTGGGCAACAGAATGAGACTCTGTCTCAAAAAAATAATAAAACTGAAAAGGAGATGAGAGCTAAAAAGTGAGCGCTGGAATTTTTTGGGGGGAGGGAGGGGAGCAGACCCTGTGTTGAGTACTCATAAGAGGTCTCCTTAGTCACAGTTCTAAATAAATTTGAGTGAGCCATTTAATGTTTCTGTGCTTGTTTCCTGCCTCACTATATCGTAAAGGTTCAATGACATCATGTATGTAGGTGGGTTAGCACAACGCTCTGTATACAGTAATTGCCAGTTAAACATTATATATAATAGCTCTTGCTATTAATCTGCAAAACAACTCTAAGAGGTAAGTATCATTGTTATCCCTACTTCGCAGATGAGAAAACTGAGGCACAGAAAGGTTGTGACTTACCCAAGGTCACACAGTCAGCAATTAGCAAAACCTGAAAACAAACCCAAGCAGTCTAGGCCAGGTGTGGCAGCTCACACCTGTAATCTCAGCACTTTGGGAAGCCGAGGCAGGTGGATCACTTGAGTACAGGAGTTCAAGACCAGCCTGGCCAATATAGTGGAACCCCTCCTCTACTAAAAAGACACAAATTAGCCGGGGATGGTGGCCCATGCCTGTAATCCCAACTACTTGGGAGACTGAGGCATGAGCATTGCTTGAACCTGGGAGGCAGAGGTTGCAGGGAGCCAAGACTGCATCTCTGCACTCCAGCCAAGACTCTGCCCACCCCTCAAAAAAAAAGCAGCCTGACTACAGAGCCTGTGCTCTTCATGAAAACATACTGCTGCCTTGAGAAGCACTGTCTATGTGCTGGGCACTGTGTGCAGCCCTACTTAAAGTGGAAGCTCAGAACTACCCTATAAAGTAGTTATTATTATCAATTTGTAAATGAAGAAAACTGAGACTCAGAACGATTAAGTAATATACCCAAGGTCACACAGCTGGACAATACTGAATCCAGGTCGGTCTGACTCTGGAGAGGATCTGTTTCTTAGGCACTCTTGAGATCTGACCTTCAATCAACGATGACCCCATCTGGCACAAATTATAGCCCACAAAATGCCTCCACACCTGGACTCCTGCCTCCCACCCACTTGCTCCGCAAGTCACACTTCCCAAGGTACCTCTGTCTGTCCCCAAGCCCCTCACGCCAGCTTCTTCTTTACCTCCTCACTCATGGGCTCTGGAGGAGGGTCTGGTTCTTCAGAGCCCGCGGTGATGGCCATCTGCAGCAGGCCTTGGAGGTTGCGTGGGGGCCGGGAATTGCCCGACACCCCGGCCGAGGAGGAGCCGGAGCCGCCGCCGCCGCCGCCGCCACCACCCCCTGAAGAACAACCCTGGGAGGCCGGGGGCAGCGCCAGGGGCAGACGGCTGCCCCTTGAGCCTTCGTCCGCCATGGGCCGTTTGTGAAGAAGGGAAGAATATGTTAGGGGGAGAAGGTGTTCACCGCTGAAGCTGCTCTGGTGTCCTGACGGGTCGATTCTTGAGGGTCTGCTGAGAAGGCGGCGTTTTAGGGGCGCTCGGTGCCCCCCCATCACCCCAAACCACTCTGCCCCCAGTCCCCTAAACCACAGCCCCTTTTCCTTCCTTCATACCCACAAGACCCTTCCCAAAAGTCATAAGCCCCTCCTTTCTCCCTGGCAACAGGCCCCACCCACTCTCCCTGGCAACAACTCCCCTTCCCCATCGCCACTGCGTGCGTCCCGTCTCTTAGCAACCTCACTGATCCGCCTCCGTAGCAACAAGCCCGCCCTTTGGACGCCTTAGCAACGAGTCTTCTCCCTCCTCTCCGAAGAGGGGCGCCGGAGTGGGTAGGATCTCACCTCCCCGGGTTCTCAAGCCGTCGCTGCTCCTACAGACAAAGTCGCCCGCACCCGACTCTCCTGGGCGCCGCCATCTTAACCGGAAATGCGCACGGTTTCACCCGGAAGTTTCAGGTGTACCCACCAAACCTCGGGCCGTGGATGAGGTTGAAGCCGTTGCCCGGCTCTCATCCCCTTCTCACTTGGCCGAATACTGCACTCGGCCCCGCTCCTCCCATCCAGGACCTGCCACCAAGCTAGGACGCGCCTTCGTGCATGCCCCGCCCCTTCACGCTCACGTCGCAGGCCGAAGCCCCGCCCCTGGCTCAGTTTTTGCACCTGAGCCCGCCCCCGATCCTTATTGCAAGCACCACCCCTGTCCTGACGCGAGCCCCGCCCCCACATCTGACCCCTCCCCTTACAACCCCGCCCACACTAACATTCCCTCCGGTTCTAGACCCATCACCTCTACCAGTTAGGTCCCGCCCTCTTTCCTTGCCCCGCCCACTCCATTGCTGTCAGTCGTGCGGGTACCTCATCCTTAGAGGATTTGGGACCTTACCCCCTAATCTGACTTTCCTGTCCACCGGGGCCACCACCCCATCTACTGGGGCCCTGGGGTCGCAAACGTAACGACTGGCCTGTGAGCCTTAGCCACCCCCCCAACGCCTCTCTCGGTCTCAGTTTACCCATTCGTCAAATGGAGCTGCAGCGTGGACCCCTCTCATCATCCAGCCTCTCCCTTATGGATTCTTTCCGATGTCTTGCTAGGTAGAGAGGAGAGGATTCGTGAGCCCTGGCCGGAAAGCAAAGTGCCCCAGAGCCTGGCAAGATCCAGAGCACCAGAGGAGCCAGCTTGGTGGGGAGGCCCAAGACCTCTGTGCCCCAGACATGGGAATTAGGCCTGGGCACGTGCTGGTGCGGGCCTGGTCTGCAGAGGTGTTGGCCCTGGGCTGGGCTTAAAGAAACTCTCGTGTTGGTCGTGAATAGGAGGCTTTTTTCCTCCAGGAAAAGGTTGTGCTCAACGCAAAATGGGCCCACAGTCACAAATGTTATCAACCACCTGCTGGGAGTGGTTGTGCAGAGGGATATTTTGGGCAGAAACGGGAAGACCAAACAGATAGGCTGTGGGTGTCCGCGTGCACGTGTGTGTGTGCCTGTGTGCCTGTGTGCGTGTGGTGTCTCTAGTACTGTGTTGTGAGATGCGTCTGGGCCTGTGGATGTCCTATTATATTAGTTTCCTATTGCTACTGTTAACAAATTACTGAAAATGTGGCGGCTTCAAACAGCACACGTGTATTGTCTTGCAGTTATGGAGGGCAGAAATCCACAATGGGTTTCATGAGGCTGAAACCGAGCTGTCGGCGGGATTGCATGCCTTCTGGACGTGGAGTGTTTTCCTTGCCTCTTCCAGCTTCTAGAGGCCACACTCGTTCTTTGACAGGTGGCCCCATCACCCTGAGCTCTACGGTCCATCTTCCGACTGTCACTGACTGCTCCTGCATCGCTTTCACAAGTACTCTTATGATTCCATTGAGCTCACCCAAATAACTGGGATCACCTCCCTATCTCAGTGAAATGCACCAAGTCCCTTCAGCAATGCAAGATGACCTGTGCACAGATCCTGGGAATTTGGATGTGGATGTCCGAATACACGCCGGATGCAGTGTCTTAGGCCTATAATCTCACACTTTGGGAAGCCAAGATGGGAGGATCACTTGAAACCAAGAGTTCAAGACCCCCTGTGCAACATAACAAGACCCCCATCCCTACAAAAAAATACAAGAGTTAGCCATGTGTGATGGCATTTTCCTATAGTCACAGCTGCGTGGGAGGCTGCAGCAGGGGGGTCACTTGAGCCAAGAAGGTCGAGGCTGCAGGAAGCTATAATTGTCCCATGGCACTCCAGCCTGGGCAACAGAGGGAAGCTCCTGTCAAAAAAAAAAGAGAGAGTGATCATATAATTTTTCATCTATAGCAGCTGGCTCAAGCCTGTCATCCCAGCACGTTGGGAGGCCGAGGCGGGTGGATCACGAGGTCAAGAGATCAAGACCATCCTGGTCAACATGGTGAAACCCCGTCTCTACTAAAAATACAAAAAATTAGCTGGGCACGGTGGCGCGTGCCTGTAATCCCAGCTACTCGGGAGGCTGAGGCAGGAGAATTGCCTGAACCCAGGAGGCGGAGGTTGCGGTGAGCCGACATCGCGCCATTGCACTCCAGCCTGGGTAACAAGAGCGAAACTCCGTCTCAAAAAAAAAAAATAATTTCATCTCTAGCAAGATATTTGAGAGCAAAAAGGGATCCATTAATAGTTACAGAACTGGCCAGGTGCGGTGGTTCACACCCATAATTGGGAGGCCAAGGAGGGTGGATCATGAGGTCAGGAGTTTGAGACCAGCCTGGCCAACATGGGGAAACCCTGTCTCTACTAAATATGCAAAAAGAAGCCCTAGCACAGTGGCCTACACCTGTAATCCCAGCACTTTGGGAGGCTGAGGTGGGCGGATCATGAGGTCAGAAGTTCAAGACCAGCCTGGCTAACATGGTAAAACCCGATCTGCACTAAAAATACAAAAAATTAGATGAGTGTGGTGGCATATGCATGTAATCCCAGCTACTTGGAGACTGAGACAGGAGAATTGCTTGAACCCGGAAGGTGAAGGTTGCAGTGAGCTGAGATCGTGCCACTGCACTCCAGCCTGGGAGACAGAGCAAGACTCCATCTCAATAAATAAATAAATAAAAACACACACAAAAATTAGCCAGGTGTGGTGATGCGTGCCTGTAATCCCAGCTACTCAGGAGGTTGAAGCAGGAGAATCAATTGAATCCAGGAAGCAGAGGTTGCAGTGAGCCGAGATTGTGCCACTGCACTCCAGCCTGGGAGACAGAGCAAAACTCTATCTTTTTTTTTTTTGAGATGGAGTTTCCCTCTTGTTACCCAGGCTGGAGTGCAATGGCGCAATCTCGGCTCACCACAACCTCTGCCTCCTGGGTTCAGGCAATTCTCCTGCCTCAGCCTCCTGAGTAGCTGGGATTACAGGCACGCGCCACCGTGCCCAGCTAATTTTTTGTATTTTTAGTAGAGACGGGGTTTCACCATGTTGACCAGGATGGTCTCGATCTGTTGACCTCGTGATCCACCCGCCTCGGCCTCCCAAAGTGCTGGGATTACAGGCGTGAGCCACTGTGTCCGGCCAAAACTCTATCTTAAAAAAAAAAAAAAAAAAGAAAGTTACAGAGGACTGGGCATAAACCAGGACATATGGCCACTCTGCTTCTATGGGTCCGTATGATCCACTTCCTGGTCTCCTTTCTTCTTGCTCTCCCTCGCTCGCTCCTCTCAGCCGAACCAACCCCTTCAATGCTCCCACAGCACACCAGACACACTCCTGCCACAGGACCTTTGCACGTGCTGTTTCCCTGCCTGGAATGCCCCTTGCCCTTCATGGCTCAAACTCTCATTTTGCTTCCTGGCCAACAAATTGCACCTTGCTCGACAGGCCCCTCTTGATGTCCTCCCCTGCTGTACTCACCTCCTCAGCATGCACGTGATTATCTAACACACCACACATTTTGCCCATCGACCTCGTTGATCACTGTTTCATCCGCTAGCATGGAAGCTCCACAGGACAGGGATTTTTGCTGATTTAGGTCACTGCCATGTTCTTACTGATAGGTACAGTGCCTGGCTGAGATTTGGCACTCGTTAAAGATTTGTGGACTTAAGGTGTTGAATAGGGGACTTGGAAACTTCACAGGAGCCAAAGGGCTCCTGGGTGCATTTTATTTTATTTTTGTTAGAGACGGAATCTCACTCTGTTGCTCAGGTTGGGGTGCAGTGGTGCAAACATAGCTCACTGCATCCTTTTGTGTGTGTGTGTGTGTGGTTTTTTTTGAGACAGAGTTTCGCTCTTATTACCCAGACTGGAGTGCAATGGCGTGATCTCGGCTCACCGCAACTTCCGCCTCCTGGGTTCAGGCAATTCTCCTGCCTCAGCCTCCCGAGTAGCTGGGACTACAGGCACACGCCACCATGCCTGGCTAATTTTTAAAAATATTATTGTAGGGATGGGGTCTTGCTGTGTTGTCCAGGCTGATCTTAAGCAATCTTCCCACTTTGGTCTCCCAATATGTTGGGATTACAGGCATGAGCCACCTTGCCCAGCCCTGGGTGCTCTTTAGAGGGGACTTGAGAATTAAAGGGGTGTCTGACACTTTCGGGTACATGTCATAGAGGGATCTATGGCCTATGGGGAAAGCTAGTGGGGGCAGCCGGGTTACCCACAGGAAGAGCACACGCTGGGGAATGAGCTGCAGTGGGAATGTATGGGGTACACCGGGGCCCACGTGACGAGGTAAAGGACCCTGTGATGAGGACAGACAATACATGGGGGTCTAAAAGCATACACAGGGGCCTCAGGGGGTTCTGGAAGCTTCTCTGTAGAAGCAAACAGAATCCTAAATCACTCTGGGCTGTGGGTAGATATGGAGCCTTGACAGTGGCGGGGACACAGACCTTGCCCACAAAGACCTGGCTGGGTGAGCTTAGGGGGCTAGGGAAACAGAGATGAGTTTTGGGTCAGCAACTCCAAGAATTCTTTCCCTTCTCTGTCTCTGTCTCCCTAAATATATCCCCACCTCTCCCCAGCACGTGTCCCTCCACCTGTATGTACCCCCGGTCCCCCTGCAACCCCCCTGCCCCCACCTCTCTGGCTGGCCTTCCTCTCTCTGTCTCTCCGAGTCTCTGAGTCTCCAGCCCTCTGTCGGCTTCCAGCAGCTCTCTCTCCCTCTCCGTCTGTCTGCCCGGCTTGCCATTCCTTCCTTCTCTTCTGTCCCTGCCCATCTCTGCCCTCCCTCTCTGCCTCAGCCTGTCTCTGGTGGTCTCCATCCCTCCCGCGTCTCTGCCAGTGTCAGCCAGCATCTCTCTTTGTGTATCTCCATCTCTGCCCCATCTGTTGGGTCCTCTCTCTCTCTCCTCTCTCTCTCTCTCTCTCCTCCCTCCCCATCCTTCCCTCCATCCTCTCTCCTGCATCCTCCCACCTCATCTCCATCCCTCCAAATAGAGGCCCGCCCCCTCCCCCCCCCCGCGCTCCCCCTCCCCCTCCGAAAGGGTTAACTTTGGGGAAGGGCCCGGAGTCCCCGGATGGTGATGTCAGCGTGCCGGAGAGAAAGGACGAGGTGGCGGGGGGAGGCGGAGAGGAGGAGGAGGCGGAGGAGAGAGGGCGCGTGGGGGGGGCGGGGGGGACCTCGGCCTGCAGCATCCGCTGGCCCGCACCTCAGACCCCCCCGGCGGGGGGAGGCGCAGGAAGCGGGGGGCCGGCCAGAAACGGGCTGGGGAGGGGGGGCCCCGCAGCCCCCCCGGGCCATGCTGACTCCCGGGGCCTGACCCCCCGGGCCAGCCCCCCCTCCCCCAGCTCCGCGGCCCGCCGACTGGGGGGGGCCAGCCCAGCCCCCTGGGGACCCCCGGAGACGTGGGGGGCAGCCGGGGGGGCCGGGACGGAGCGGTCGCCGGCCCCCACCGGAGAGACGGGGCGACCGGCCGCAGGGGGGGCGGCCGGGGAACCGGTCGGGCCGGGACCAAGGGCACCATGTCGTCCGGGGCCAAGGAGGGAGGCGGGGGCTCTCCTGCCTACCACCTCCCCCACCCCCACCCTCACCCACCCCAGCATGCCCAATATGTGGGCCCCTATCGGCTGGAGAAGACGCTGGGCAAAGGACAGACAGGTGAGCCTAGCAGAAGGGGATACCTGGGGCAGGAGCAGGGTGGAGGTGGGGGCACAGTAGGGATTCAGGGTATTGAAAGGGCAGGGGCTGGCTGCCCAGACCCCTGGGCCCTTCATAGAGAAGGGACTTGGAATTCAGACCCCTGAGACCCAGGGTGGAGGGGGTGGGGGGCACAGACTCTGAGGTCCTGGAGTAGAGGAGCTGGGGACCTGGACTCCTGGGTCTGAGGGAGGAGGGGCTGGGGGCCTGCACTCCTGGGTCTGAGGGAGGAGGGGCTGGGGGCCTGCACTCCTGAGTCTGAGAGAGGAGGGGCTGGGGGCCTGGACTCCGGGTCTGAGGGAGGAGGGGCTGGGGGCCTGCACTGCTGGGTGGTCTGAGGGAGGAGGGGCTGGGGGCCTGCACTCCTGGGTCTGAGGGAGCTGGAGGTGGGGTCCTGGACTCCCCGGTCTGAGGGAGGAGGGCTGGGGTCCTGGACTCCCGGGTCTGAGGGAGGAGGGCTGGGGTCCTGGACTCCCGGGTCTGAGGGAGGAGGGGCTGGGGTCCTGGACTCCCGGGTCTGAGGGAGGAGGGACTGGGGTCCTGGACTCCCGGGTCTGAGGGAGGGGGGACTGGGGTCCTGGACTCCTGGGTCTGAGGTAGGAAGGGCAGGGATCTGGACTCTGGGTCTGAGAGAGGAGGGTTTGGTGGTCTGGACTCCTAGGTCTGAAGGAGGAGGGGCTGGGAGCCTGAACTCTTGGGTCTGAGGGATGAGGGTGGTCGGAACCCCGAGTGTTGGGACAGGGAGTTTGGGGCCCCAATGTTCCAGCTCTCATAGGGACAGTGGCTGGAGGGGCTCCAGGGCAGGGGAGGGGAAGGAGGCGGCCTGCGGAGTGGGGCCGGCTGGGAGCTGAGGCTCTTGCTGCAGTACGGCTGCAGACTGGGGTGGAGTGCCTGTGTCCTGGGAAGCCTCTTCCCTCTCCACTGTCCTCTGGCCTCCTGCTCTCCAAGCATCGAGTTGGGGTGACGGGGCTGTGGGGCCTAGGATGCTGTCCCCCTCTGTGGTGTGCTGGCTCAGAGTGGGAAACAGGAGCGGGTGGGAAGGTGGGCTGCTGCAGGCGAGTCTCCTGGAGCGGCTGTGGAAAGGGCGCTCATCCTCTGCTGTTGCTAAGCGCTGGCCTCCGGCCTCGGCCACCTTCCTGCCGGATGGATGGTGGGTGGAGGTGACATGGGAGCTAAACACACAGGGTCTCTATGAAGCTCAGGGCCAGAGTCCACAGGAGTGGGGACCCTGTGATGACTAGGAGCTGTGACCCTAGGGAAAAGGAGAGGGCCAGAGCCCCAGATCCTGGTGGTAGGAGTGTGAAGGTGCTGCTGACCTGAATTCCTGAGTTACAAGAGACGAAGGGGTCAGACCTAGACTGAGTCTGAGGGAGGAGGGGCTGGGGCCTAGGCTCCTGGGTCTGAGGGAGGAGGAACTGGGGTCCTGGGCTCCTGGGTGTGAGGGAGGAGGAGCTGGGGTCCTGGGCTCCTGGGTCTGGGACAGAAGGGGCTGGGGGCCTGGACTCTTAGGTCTGAAGGAGGAGATGCTACGGGTCTGGACTCCTAGTCTGAGGGAGGAGGGGCTGGGGGTCTAGACTGCTGGGTCTGAGGGAGGAGGGGCTGGGGCCTAGGCTCCTGGGTCTGAGGGAGGAGGAGCTGGGGTCCTGGGCTCCTGGGTCTGAGGGAGGAGGAGCTGGGGTCCTGGGCTCCTGGGTCTGAGGGAGGAGGAGCTGGGGTTCTGGGCTCCTGGGTCTGAGGGAGGAGATGCTATGGGTCTGGACTCCTAGTCTGAGGGAGGAGGGGCTGGGGGGTCTAGACTGCTGGGTCTGAGGGAGGAGGGGCTGGGGCCTAGGCTCCTGGGTCTGAGGGAGGAGGAGCTGGGGTCCTGGGCTCCTGGGTCTGAGGGAGGAGGAGCTGGGGTCCTGGGCTCCTGGGTCTGAGGGAGGAGGAGCTGGGGTCCTGGGCTCCTGGGTCTGAGGGAGGAGGAGCTGGGGTCCTGGGCTCCTGGGTCTGAGGGAGGAGGAGCTGGGGTCCTGGGCTCCTGGGTCTGAGGGAGGAGGAGCTGGGGTCCTGGGCTCCTGGGTCTGAGGGAGGAGGAGCTGGGGGCCTGGGCTCCTGGGTCTGAGGGAGGAGGAGCTGGGGGCCTGGGCTCCTGGGTCTGGGACAGAAGGGGCTGGGGGCCTGGACTCTTAGGTCTGAAGGAGGAGATGCTACGGGTCTGGACTCCTAGTCTGAGGGAGGAGGGGCTGGGGGTCTAGACTGCTGGGTCTGAGGGAGGAGGGGTTGGGGGTCTGGACGCCTGGGCCTGTAGCTTTAGGGGCTAGCCAGGGCTGGGTCTGGCTTTGGGGGCTCAGGTCCTGGAGTTGAGAGTCTCCGGGAGAGGTGTGGGCTGGGAGACTGGACATACCTTTGGGGTCTGCGTCCTGTCTGTTATGGCTGCCACCAAGAGAACACCCAGGAAGGCAGTTGGGGCTGCAGAGTCGGGAGGAGGTGGAGGAGCAAATGTGAGATTATAGTCGGGAGTCATAGGGTCTCCAAAACACTGAAAGGCAGAGAATACAAGGAAGTGATGGGGAGAGAGACAGAGAAACAGAGAGAGAGGGGCTTGGAGGAGACAGACAGGGGAGACACGGTGAGGAAGGAATGCGTGGCAGGCAGGCTCCCTGGGACTGGGAGGGTGAGGGCCGGGTGGTGGCCCGTGGAGGAGGGGACGCATGGGTGATGGGCAGTAAGGAAGAACGGAAGTGGCAGCAGGGAAGGAGGAAGGGGGAAGGGGTGGCTTTGTGGGAGTGGGGGCTGTCAGCCCCAGGAGTTCAGGTCTGATGCATTTGGGCCACCATTAAAGCAGCCAGCTGGGGAAGGAGTGAACAGGGTGGCCAAGAGGGGACACGGGCGCTGAGGGGGAAGGGGACCTGACAGAACACCCCACGATTTCTGCTCCCCCAGGGCTGGTTAAACTCGGGGTGCACTGCATCACGGGTCAGAAGGTGGCCATCAAGATTGTGAACCGAGAAAAGCTGTCAGAGTCTGTGCTGATGAAGGTGTGTGTGCCTGCCGCGCCCCTTGCCCCTCAGTGGTTTCAAGTGCGTGATTCCATGTGTCTGCGGGGGAGGCCTCTGGGCTGAGGGCAGGGACGGGCCGTGCTGACCTCTGTTCCCATGTCCCTGCCCCTCTTGGCCCTCAGGTGGAACGGGAGATTGCCATCCTGAAGCTTATCGAACACCCGCACGTCCTCAAGCTCCACGACGTCTACGAGAACAAGAAATATTTGTAGGTATTTATAGACACCCAGCCCTGCCCCATCCTCCTTCCCCAAGTTAGAGGGTGGGACTTCCCCAAAAACAGGGCGCAGGGGCGCCTGGGGAACCTGGAGCTCTCCGGGCTGGACCACTGGAGGCCCAGTCCCTTGCCTGTTGCACAGGGGAGTCCCCGACACACTGGGAACCCCACTGTTCCCACGCTGTGTTGGATCCGAGGCTAAAGACAGGGCGGCCGAGCTCCAGCTCCTCACCCTGCTGTACTGCTAGGGTGCCCGAGACCAGACCCAATTTACCATGGGCAGATGCCCCTGTTTGTAAGGCAAGGGGCCTAGCAAAGCCCAAAGGATCTTCCCAAACCCCCGCCTCTGGAGCACTGGAGAGTCCCCCTCCTCCTCGGCATAACTTCGCGTCCTATGGCTGGACACCCCAACAATGGGCCGCCTTAGGAGTTCTGAGTCAGTTTCTCAAAGTCAGTCACCCACCAGGAAGGATGGGGGTGGGGGCCCAGCTGTACAAGCTCCAGAGAATGGGCCTCTTTGTCCAAACTCTGGTGACCCAAAGGACAGCTGGGCTGGGTGGCGGGAGAGGGGACAGCCCCCCAACCCCCCGCACCCAATGCCCACGATGAACTGACATGAGGTCCATCCATGCTGAGGCAGGTTTCACACGCAGGAAGCTGCCTTCCCTGGTGCTCATGAGACTTGCTTTCAGGCTTTCCCAGGTGTGGTGGTAGGAGGGAGTATTGTCCAAACCAGGGCACTGTCGCCCCCACTCCACCCTTGGCATAGGGAGGCAGGGCCATGGGAGTTTATGCTTTGGGCAGGAATCTCAGCCATCTAAGAACTCAGAGAAATTGAGCTCTTGGGGCCAGGCACAGTGGCTAACATCTGTAATCCAGCACTTTGGGAGGCCAAGGTGGGCGGATTGCTTGAAGAGTTTGACACCAGCCTGGGCAACCTGCCAGAACCCTGTCTCTACAAAAAATACAAAAATCAGCTGGGCATGGTGGTGTGCACCTGTAGCCCCTGCTACTTGGGGGGCTGAGGTGGGAGGATTGCCTGATCCTGGTAGGTTGAGGCTGGAGTGAGCTGTTTTTGTGCTGCTGTAGTCCAGCACGAAGTGAGACCCTATCTCAAAAAAAAAAGAAATTGAGCTTTTGTTTCCCAGAAGCTGATGGGAATTAGCATTAACCTCCCAGAGCCTGATGGGATTTGGAGTCTAGAATCCAAATGGTTGATGGAAGCTGGGCGCGGTGGCTCACACCTGTAATCCCAGCACTTTGGGAGGCCGAGGAGCGTAGATCACCTAAAGTCGGGAGTTCAAGACCAGCCTGGCCAACATGGCGAAACCCTGTCTCTACTAAAAATACAAAAAGTAACTGAGTGTGGTGGCATACATCTGCAGTCTCAGATTCTTGGGAGGCTGAGGTGGGAGAATTGCTTGAACCTGGGAGGCAGAGACTGCAGTGAGCTGAGATCATGCCACTGCTTTCCAGCATAACAGAGCAAGACTCTCTCTCAGAAAAAGAAAAGAAAAAACCCAAACAACAACAACAAAAAAGCAAATGGTTGACGGAAACTGGGATCCCCTGTGTCCCAGAGGCTTATGGGAAGTGGGGGTTTAGAACTTCTAGGAGCTGACGGGAGTTGTCATCTGTGGCCTCACAGAAGGTAGCTTGCACTGGTGCACCTTGCAGTCATTAATGCCCAAAATTAAATCAAACTTGAGTTTCTTCATCCCAGAGGAAAACAGAGGCTTGGCTTCCTAGGGGCTAATAGGAGTAGGGGTATCTTTACTTCCCAGGCTCCTGTAAGAATTGGGGTCTTTGTCCTTCAGGCGCTAATAGAGTTGCCTTATCTCCTGAAACCATTAGGAGTCAGAGTGTTGATTCCCCTCTGAAGTTGGCATGGGAGGCTCTGCTGCCCAGGGCTAATGGGAGTTGAGTTTCGTTTCTTAGAGGCTGGTGGAAACTGGAGTCACTTCCTCCAAGGGAATGATGGGAACTGGAGTCTCTTTCTCCCAAGGACCCATGGGAATTGGAGTCTCTTCCTCTCAAGGGTCACGGGAATTGGAGTTCTCTGCCTCCAGGGGCCAATGGAAGTGGGAAGCCAGGCCCTTTGGTCATCCACATGCCCCTTCCAGCCCTCTGCCCCCTCTATATCCTTCAGGTACCTGGTTCTGGAGCACGTCTCAGGGGGTGAGCTATTCGACTACCTGGTAAAGAAGGGGAGACTGACGCCCAAGGAGGCCCGTAAGTTCTTCCGCCAGATCGTGTCTGCGCTGGACTTCTGCCACAGCTACTCCATCTGGTGAGCGGGCAGCTTGAGGGCGAGGCAGGGCTGGGGGCTGCCCAGGGGACAGGCCCTTGGGGGCATGTGGAAGTCTGAGCAAAAGCCATGTGGTCTGCCCCCAAATCCTTTATCCCATTGAGACATAACTCATATACCACAAAATTCCTCCTTTTAAAGTGGTTTGTGATATATTTGCAGTGGTATACATCTGCTACTATGGACTTTTAGAATTCTAGAACATTTTAGAACATTTTTATCACCCTGCACACATTAAGTAAGCAGTCACTCCCCATTTTCCTCCTGCCTCCCAGCCTTGGCAACCTACTTTCTGTCTGTATGGATTTACCTATTCCAGTCACTTCATATAAATGGAATCATACCATACATGGCCCTTTTCATATTGTTTGTTTTGTTTTTGAGACAGAGTTTTGCTCTTGTCACCTAGCAGGAGTGCAATGGCATGATCTTGGCTCACTGCAACCTCCGCCTCCCAGGTTCAATTGATTCTCCTGTCTCAGCCTCCCAAGTAGCTGGGATTACAGGTACATGCCACCGCACCCGGCTAATTTTGTATTTTTTCAGTAGAGACGGGGTTTCACCATGTTGGCCAGGCTGGTCTTGAACTCCTGACCTCAGGTGATCTGCCCACCTCAGCCTCCCAAAGAGCTGGGATTACAGGTGTGAGCCACCACGCCAGGATACATGGCCCCTTGTGACTGGCTTCTGTAACCCAGCAAAGTGTCTTCCATTTTCATGCATATTCCAGCACTTATCAATACTTTGATTCCTTTTCATGGCTGAATAATATTCCATTGTACGGACAGGCCACATTTGTTTATCCGTTCACCTGTTGATGGACAGTTTGGTTCTTCCCCCTTCCTGTTTATGATGAATAACAGCCATGAACACTCACGTTCAAGTTTTCGCGCACACCTACGTTCTCGGTTCTCTTGGGCACAGACCTAGGAGTGGAATTGCTGGGTCATGTGGCAGTCTCTAGCCTTTTGAGGGACTGCCAGCCTGTTTTCCGAAGTGCTTCACAATTTGATGGTTCTAATCTCTGCCCACCCTCATCAACACCTGTTGTTATCTCTCTTTCATTAGAGCAATCTTAGTGGATGTGAAGCAGCATCTGATTGGGGTTTTGCTTTGCATTTCTCTAAGGATTTCTGATGTTGGGCATCTTTTTATATGTTTATTGGTCACATAGATTTGGAGAAATATTCATTCAGATTCTTTGCCCCCCCCCTTTTTTTTTTTTTTTTGAGACCGAGTCTTGCTCTGTTGCCCAGGCTGGAATGCAGTGGCGTGATCTCAACTCACTGCAACCTCTGCCTCCTAGGTTCAACTGATTCTTCTGCCTTAGCCTCCCAAGTAGCTGAGATTACAGGCATGTGCCACCAAGCCTGGTTAATTTTTGTATTTTTAGTAGAGACAGGGTTTTACCATGTTGCCTGGGCTGGTCTTGAACTCCTAACTTCAGGTGATCTGCCCACCTCAGCCTCCTAAAGTGTTAGGATTACAGGTGTGAGCCACCGTGCCCTGCCTCTTTGCCCATTTTTAATTCAGTTATTTTTTTAAAATTTGATTTAGTCTTTTTATGATTGATTTGTAACACTTCTTTATTCTTGGAAGAAAAGATAACTCTAGGAATAACTCCTAAAACTTATTTATTCTGGGCTGGACTTAGTGGCTCACACCTGTAATCCCAGCACTTTGGGAAGCCGAGGCGGGTAGATGATGAGGTTAGAAGTTCAAGTCCAGCCTGGCCAACATAGTGAAACCTCGTCTCTACTAAAACTCCAAAAATTAGCCGAGTGTAATGGCAACTACAGTCCCAGCTACTTGGGAGGCTGGGGCGGTAGAACTGTTTGAACCCAGGAGGCGGGGGTTACAGTGAGCCCAGATCCTGCCACTGCACTCCAGCCTGGGTGACTGAGCAACATTTTTATAACTGGTAAGGTGCAAAATGAATGCTTTCTTCTTTTAGCCTCCTTTGTCTGCATATCCCTCCCACTGAGATGTGTTTCGGAGATGGGGTGAGGATCAGGGTGAAGGGGCTCAGACCTGGGGTGAAGGTTGCTGATAAAAAGGCCGCCTGTAGGCCGGGCACGGTGGCTCAAGCCTGTCATCCCAGCACTTTGGGAGGCCGAGGAGGGTGGATCATGAGGTCAAGAGATCGAGACCATCCTGGTCAACATGGTGAAACCCTGTCTCTACTAAAAATACAAAAATTAGCTGGGCATGGTGGTGCGTGCCTGTAATCCCAGCTACTCAGGAGGCTGAGGCAGGAGAATTGCCTGAACCCAGGAGGCAGAGGTTGCAGTGAGCCGAGATCGCGCCATTGCACTCCAGCCTGGGTAACAAGAGCGAAATTCCATCTCAAAAAGAAAAAAAAAAAAAAGGCTGCCTGTTTAAATTTTCAGTTTTTGGGTTTTTAAAAAATATTTTTTTTTTTTTTTTGAGACAGAGTTTCGCTGTTGTTACCCAGGCTGGAGTGCAATGGCACGATCTCGGCTCACTGCAACCTCCGCCTCCTGGGTTCAAGCAGTTCTCCTCCCTCAGCCTCCTGAGTAGCTGGGACTACTCAGCTAATTTTTGTATTTTTAGTAGAGATGGGGTTTCACCATGTTGACCAGGATGGTCTCGATCTCTTGACCTTGTGATCCACCCGCCTCGGCCTCCCAAAGTGCTGGGATGACCGGCTTGAGCCACAGCACCTAGCCCTGTTTAAATGTTGACACCTTCCTATTGACAAGATTGTCAAAACCCTGACATTAAAACCCTGGCCTCCAGGGGGAGATGTTCAACATACTTAACAAGTATGACCCAGCTGATGGCCAGGCAAATGGAAACTGCAGAAATCTTACACTTCCCCTCGCCCCAGACGTCAACCCTTAAATCTTGAGGACTTTGGTTCAGCGGTGGGAAGGTCCCAAGAGAGGGACCAAGGGTTTTAAGAACCAGCCTCGTATCAGCTTTACCTCAAAATATCTTGCTTTGTACAAATTCAAATACTTACAGATAAACGAATATGATGTCTGGGATCTCCTATAAATGAATGTGGGCGGGGGGAGAACGTAAGGGACGTAAATGAGATAAGACTGGACCTAAGTTGATGGTGGATGAAGCTGGGAGGTGGGTAAGTTAGGCTTCCTCATACTTCCTCTCCAGTTTTGGGTAAGTCTGTGATTGTCTGTTATAAAAAGTTTCCAAAGCCAGATGTGATGAGGCACACCTGTGGTAGCAGCTTCTCAGGAGGCTGAGGCCAGAGGATCACTTGTGCTGGGGAGGTCGTGGCTGCAGTGAGCTATGATCGTGCCACTGTGCTCCAGGCTGGGCCACACAGTGGGACCCCACCTCTAAAAATACACTTGATCTTAGCCAAAAAGCTAAGAAGCGATGCCCATTTCTAAAATTAAAACATAAAAAAGGCTGGGAGCGGTGGCTCTCGCCTGTAATCCCGGCACTTTGGGAGGCTGAGGCAGGCAGATCACCCAAGGTCAGGAGTCTGAGACCAGCCTGGCCAACATGGTAAAAACCCGGTCTCTACTAAAAATCCAAAAATTAGCCAGGTGTGGTGGCGCATGCCTGTAGTCCCAGCTACTTGGGAGGCTGAGGCAAGAGAATTGCTGGAACCCAGGAGGCGGAGGTTGCAGTGAGCCGAAATCATGCCACTGCACTCCAGCCTGGGCGACAGTGCGAGACTCCATCTTAAAATAAATAAGGCCAGATGTGGTGGCTACTCCAAGACCGAGGCAGGAGAATCACTTGAATCCAGGAGGTGGAGGCTGCAGTGAGCTGAGATGGTGTTTGCACTCCAGCCTGAGCAACAGAGCAAGACTCCGTCTCAAAAATAAAATAAAATAAAAAGAACATTTAAAAATAGACCAGGCCGGGCGCGGTGGCTCACGCCTGTGATCCCAGCACTTTGGGAGGCTGAGGCGGGTGGATCATGAGGTCAAGAGATGGAAACCATCCTGGTCAACATGGTGAAACCCCATCTCTACTAAAAATACAAAAATTAGCTGGGCATGGTGGTGCCTGCCTGTAATCCCAGCTACTCAGGAGGCTGAGGCAGGAGAATTGCCTGAACCCAGGAGGCAGAGGTTGCGGTGAGCCGAGATCTCTCCATTGTACTCTAGCCTGGGTAACAAGAGCAAAACTCCATCTCAAAAAAAAAAAAAAAGACCAAAATAAATGAATGATAATTAATGGTCTCTCACCCCCTGAAAAACCCAAAAGTATGCAGCAGTGTTCCACTGTGAGAGCCAGCAAGTGGGGCCTGGGCCTCCTGGGAGGAAGGAAGAGGCCTGAGCCCCACCTGGCTGTCGCAGCCACAGAGACCTGAAGCCCGAGAACCTGCTTTTGGATGAGAAAAACAACATCCGCATTGCAGACTTCGGCATGGCGTCCCTGCAGGTGGGGGACAGCCTCCTGGAGACCAGCTGCGGGTGAGTGCGCGTCCGCCTCCCGAGGCCCTGGGCAGGGGCGTACAAGCCGGCTGGAGGCTCACATCAGCTCTCTCCCTCAGGTCCCCCCATTATGCGTGTCCAGAGGTGATTAAGGTGAGTGAGGGGCAGGTGGAGGGGAGAGGGGTGGCGGCGGCAGTGAGGGTGGTGTAGTCACAACTGGCCTTTCCCTTCCAGGGGGAGAAGTATGACGGGCGCCGGGCAGACATGTGGAGCTGTGGAGTCATCCTCTTCGCCCTGCTCGTGGTAAGGGGCCCTCACCTGTCCTGCCATTTCTAGACCAATCCCACATGCTGGGAGCATAGGACAATACATTCCGTCCTCACTGGGGGTCATCTCTGGTATTTATTTATTATTTTTAATTTTTCTATTTATTAAAAAAATTTTTTTGAGACAGTGTCTCACCCTGTCGCCCAGGCTGGAGTGCAGTGGCACAATCTCGGCTCACTGCCACCTCCTGGGTTCAAGCAGTTCTCCTGCCTCAGCCTCCCAGGTAGCAGGGATTACAGGCGCCCACCACCACACCCAGCTAATTTTTGTATTTTTAGTAGAGACTGGGTTTCATCATGTTAACCAGGTTGGTTTCAAACTCCTGGCCTCAAGTGATCCAACCGCTTCGGCCTCCCGGAATGCTGGAATTACAACCGTGAGCCACTGCGCCCAGCAGTTCATTATTTTTATTTATTTTTATGCTTTTGAGACAGGGTCTCTGTTGCCCAGCCTGGAGTGCAGTGGCACCATCTCAGCTCACATCACAGCCCCCAGTGATCTGCCTGCCTCAGCCTCCCAAAGTTCTGGCATTACAGGCATGGGCCACCGCACCTGGCCAGAAGCAGTGTTTTATGCTAGGCACTGTTCCAAGCATGCTGTTTCACATAATTCTCTCAGCAGCCGAGGAGGGGAAGTGATGGGCCCGTGGGCATGCAGCTGATAAGCAGCAGGCCTGGGGTCAGTCCTTCGTCTCTTAACCACCAGGCTACATGACAGACAGTAGAGGCAATGAGGCCAGCTCCAAGCTGCCTTCCTGGGGCTCAGTGCTCCATGGGGAGAGCAGCCAAGGTGCTCTGGAGACCAGCTAAAAACATTCGTAACTCAGCCCTTCTTCACTTGGTGGCTGAAAGCCCAGGGCCGGGCATGGTGGCTCATGCCTGTAATCCTAGCACTTTGGGAGGCCGAGGTGGGAAGATCACGAGGTCAGGAGTTCAAGACCAGATTGGCCAATATGGGGAAATCCTGTCTCTACTAAAAATGTAAAAATTAGCCAGGCATGGTGGCACACACCTGTACTTTCAACTACTTGGGAGGCTGTGGCAGAAGAATTACTTGAACCCGGGAGGCGGAGGTTGCAGTGAGCCGAGATCATGCCACTGCACTCCAACATGGGCAACAGAGTGAGACTCCGTCTCAAAAAATAAATAAATAAAGGTCGTGTGCGGTGGCTCATGCCTGTAATCCCAGCACTCTGGGAGGCTGAGGTGGGCGGATCACCTGAGGTCGGGAATTCAAGAGCAGCCTGACCAACATGGAGAAACCTCATCTCTACTAAAAATACAAAATTAGCCAGGTGTGGTGGCCGGCACCTGTCATCCCAGCTGCTTGGTAGGCTTCTCTCAGTGTCCTCACCTTCGCTCAGTGTCCTCACCTATCCCATGGAAGTAAGCCTAGTACCTATCATTGTAAGGGTTTTAATTAATTAATTAGTTAATTTTTATTTTGAGACGGAGTTTCACTCTTCTCGCCCAGGCTGGTGTGCAGTGGCGCAATCTGGGCTCACTGCAACCTCCGCCTCGCAAGTGCCAGCACTTCTCCTGCCTCAGCCTCCACAGTGGCTGGGATTACAGGCGCACACCACCATGCCCAGCTAATCTTTTTTATTTTTAGTAGAGACGAGATTCACCATGTTGATCAGGCTAGTCTTGATCTCCTGACCTCACCTGATCTGCCCACCTGGGCCTCCCAAAGTGCTGTGACGCTGGAATTAGTGGCGTGAGCCACCGCACCCAGCCGATTTCACTGTTTAAAAATGACCAGGAAGCCAAGTGCTTCTGAAGTGCCATCTAGCATTCCCGAGCGCGGGAGGCTGTGATGTCCCTTATGGAGAAAACCCCTGTGATGGGCGTGCCGTGAGTTCAGTGTCAATGACACAGTATATGGGAAAGGCGTCTTTAAACAGAAACACGTACAAACGAGGTTATGTAATGACTGGTTGACAAAAATGTGACCAGAGGGTTGAAGGAACCTAATTATATTTCATCCAGTAGCCGTGACTGGTTGAGAGTTTGTGGTTTTATAGAACAGAACTCTCGAGAATAACAAGAATCAACTGTATTGTTGTTGCTGTTATTATAATTTATTTTTTGAGATGGAGTCTCGCTCTGTCGCCCAGGCTGGAGTGCAGTGGCGCAATCTCGGCTGACTGCAACCTCCACCTCCCAGGTTCAAGCAATTCTCCTGCCTCAGCCTCCCGAGTAGCTGGGATTATAAGTGACCACGATCATGCCTGGCTAATTTTTGTATTTTTAGTAGTGACGGGGTTTCTCCATGTTGGCCAGGCTGGTCTCAAACTCCTCATTTCAAGTGCTCCTTCCCACTTCGCCTCCCAAAGTGCTGTGATTACAGGTGTGAGCCACCACGAGCAGCCTGTTGTAATGTTTAATTCATAGCATACCCTTCCTGGGAGGATCATTATGTCCATTTAACAGAGAAAAGGAAACTGAGGTTCCATGCTAGAGCATCAGGCAACTAGAAGTCAAGCCCAGGGTTCCGTACTCCAAGATCTGCATTCAGAGGTGCCTTCTCTGTATCTCCCTATTCTCCGTCCACAGGCCTCAGATACCAGGGGCCACCAAGAGCTTGCCACACCCAGAAAAGCCCTCAAGGGCTCACAATGCCACCTCCTCCATGGTGGCTCACCTTGCCTCCTCCTCCAAGCTTTGCCCTGCTGATGAGAAGCATTCCCTCGGTCTCATATGCTCTGTTCATTTGTTCGTTACCGGTCCCCTCTGGAATGCAGCTTCTCTGCTCATTCCACCTTTGCTTATGAATTGAGCATCAAGCGTGTGTCAGGCAGTGTCCTAGGCTGAGCTCCAGGCAGGCAGGGATGTGATTTTGTCCTCTGCTTCATTGCTAGTGGCTACATCAGAATGCAGGATGCAGTAGAGGTGTGATCAATGGTCGAATGCATCACGCAGCCGGTGTGTAACAGCCCCGACTGTGGGCCCAGCACTGTAATGTATTACGGCAGGTCATTCTGATGCAGTCTGTGAGGTGGGTGCTCAGACGACCCATTGCCAAGCAGTGACTTGCCTGAGGTCATGCTGGTATAAGCCCCAGAGCAAGGATTCAAAGCAAGGCAGGGGGCTGGGCGCACTGGCTCATGCCTGTAATCCCAGCACTTGGGAGGCCAAGGCAGGTGGATAGTTTGAGGCTGGGCGTTCGAGACCAGCCTGGCCAACACGGCGAAATCCAGTCTCTGCTAAAAATACAAAAATTAAGCCAGGCGCAGTGGCTCATGCCTGTAATCCCAGCACTTGGGAGGCTGAGGCAGGTGGATCACTTTAGTTTGGGTGTTTGAGACCAGCTTGGCCAACACGGTAAAACCCCGTCCCTATAAAAATACAAAAATACAAAAATTAGGGGCCGCACGCAGTGGCTCACGTCTGTAATCCCAGCACTTTGGGAGACCAAGGTGGGCAGATCACAAGGTCAGGAGTTCAAGATCACCCTGGCCAACATGGTGAAACCCGGTCTCTACTACAAATACAAAAATTAGCCGAGTGTGTTGGTGCATGCCTGTAATCCCAACTCCTCGGGAGGCTGAGGCAGGAGAATCGCTTGAACCTGGGAGGCGGAGGTTGCGGTGAGCCAAGATCGTGCCATTGCACTCCAGCCTGGGCAACAAGAGCGCAACTCCATTTCAAAAGGGAAAGAAAGAAAAGTGTCAGCAAGGCCCGGCTTCCTCTGGAGGTTCTAGGGAAGGGTCCTTCCTGGCCTCTTCTAGCATCAGGTGTCCTTCAGTTGCAGCTGCGTCAGTCCCATCTCTGCCTCTATAAAAATACAAAATTGAGGGGCCGGGAGAGAACCATCCATCATCACATGACTGTTCTCTCTGTGCCTCTGCGCCCTCCTCGCCTCTTATAAGGACACCAGTCACTGACTTAGGGCTCAGCTGCATTCAGGTCTCTGCTCCCGTTGCACCTCCTGGGATGAGCCTCGCTCATTCGCTGTCATTGTTTGGCTATTTGTTTGGAGCTGTGCAAGGGCAGAGGCCTGTTTTGTTCACTGCTGGATCCCTGACCCGGAACGGATGCTCACTTTTTGTTGAATGAGTGAATGAGTGACAACCCTTGGAAAGCTGTCTAAAAGACAGCCTCCGCCCTGCAATTCTAGCCTCGTAAGCGGGGCTCCAGGCTGTACTTGCCAAGCGCCCGTTCTGCCAAGGACGAGCTAGGGGCCTTGGGCAAACTGCTGAGCCTCCCTGTGCCTCAGTTTCCCCGCCGGTAAGGTGGAGATCACCGTAGTTCCCCACCTCCAGTGCTCGTGGCGAGGGTGAAATGTGCTAATGAGGGGTCCTTGTTGTCTCGTGCCCAGGGGGCTCTGCCCTTTGATGACGACAACCTCCGCCAGCTGCTGGAGAAGGTGAAACGGGGTGTCTTCCACATGCCCCACTTTATTCCTCCGGACTGCCAGAGCCTCCTGAGGGGCATGATCGAAGTGGAACCCGAAAAAAGGCTCAGTGTGAGTTGGGGGGACCGGCGGAGGAGAGAACAGTGGGCGATGGAGACAGAAGCCCCACAAAAGTCAGAACCTGGGTTTTCAGAACCTACCCGTCAGTCCTAGGGGTGACTGGGGTCTCCAGCTGAGCCGCAACCCAAGGTCCAAGAAAGCTGCCGCTCCGAGCTGGGGAGGGGTCTACGCAAGAATGAAGCGGGCGCCCCAGCGGGAGGGCGCATGCGTGTGGAGACTAACAGGCTGCCACTGCGCATGCGGCGAAGTAATGCGGCGGGTCCTGGGTAGACACAGCGCGTGCGGAGGGCGATGCACTCAGTCACCACTAGAGGGCGACGTGCTATGTCATCCTGCCCCTGGTGGGGTGGGCGGAGAGATGATGAGGGACCCCAAAACCGCGACAGTCAACTTTCATTGCGCGCCTGCATATGCATACCACCTCACTTCTGCTTCTCTATGACTCACCACCCTCACAGCTGGAGCAAATTCAGAAACATCCTTGGTACCTGTGAGTATGGGGTAACAGGACTCTTGGGTCCCTGGAGGAAGCAGGGGTGGGGACCAGAGCAGTAGAGGCAGCTGGGGGAGTGGGATGCCAGGGTTCCTGAGTGGCAAGGGGCTAGGGACTCGGACTTATGAGCTCTGCGGGAGGAGTACACAGCTGGAGAGGGAGTCTAGGGGTCAGAGAGAAGAGGACCTAAGCTAGGAGTCCAGATCTCCCAGAAGAAGGGGCTGGGGGCCAGACTTCTGGGTCTGAAGAAGGGGCTGGGGGCCAGACTTCTGGGTCTGAAGGAGCTGCTGGGGGCCTGGATCCCTGGGTCTCAGAGAGGAGGGGCTGAGGGTCTGGACTCTTTGATCTGAGATGGGAGGCAGTGTCTGGGGGTCTGGATTTCTGGGTATGAGAGAGAAGGGCTGGGGCTTGGACTCAGATTTCTTTTTTCTTTCTTTTTTCTTTTTTTTTGAGACGGAGTTTTGCTCTTGTTACCCAGACTAGACTCCACCTCCTGGGTTCAAGCAATTCTCCTGCCTCAGCCTCCCGAATAGCTGGGACTACAGGCGCGCACCACCATCCGCAGCTAATTTTTGTATTTTTAGTAGAGACGGGGTTTCACCTTGTTGACCAGGATGGTCTCGATCTCTTGACCTCGTGATCCACCCGTCTCGGCCTCCTAAAGTGCTGGGATTATAGGCGTGAGCCACCGTGCCCGGCCGGACTGGAATTTCTAAACCTGAAGGCTGTTGTCCAGGACCCTTGAGTCTAAGATAAAGCATGTCAGCATGCTTTATCTTAGAAGCTTTATCTAGGAAGCCTGGTTCCCAATGATGTTTCTCCACTTTCCCAGAGGCGGCAAACACGAGCCAGACCCGTGCCTGGAGCCAGCCCCAGGCCGCCGGGTAGCCATGCGGAGCCTGCCATCCAATGGAGAGCTGGACCCCGACGTCCTAGAGAGCATGGCGTCACTGGGCTGCTTCAGGGACCGCGAGAGGCTGCATCGCGAGCTGCGCAGTGAGGAGTAAGACCCCAAGACCCCTGCACCCGTGTACCCACGTGGGGCAAGCTGCGCCGGCTCCCTGCGCACACACACAGCTCTAGGCGTGGCACCCTGGCCTCTCCATGGGGCGTGGTTTGAAGCTCCCGCATGGGAGTGATGGAACCCGCGGGGGAAACGGCCCAGAAACGCGCTGAGAATGTGTTAATAGATGCTGCGAGAGACATAGACCTTCCTTAAATAATACTTACCAATAGTACGTGTCCGGATGTTAGATGTTACAGTGTTAACATAATTGAGTAAAACACGGCTGAGATGTACCTCAAAGCACAGGAAACTGACTGTACTGATACCTAGAAAAGTGGAACCATGGGCAGAAATGCTGGGAACGGAGGAGACCTCCTCTGGGCGCTGATTTCTGACCTCAGCCCTCTTTTACCTCCTTCCACCTTTTCCACCCTCTGTCTTAGGGAGAACCAAGAAAAGATGATATATTACCTGCTTTTGGATCGGAAGGAGCGGTATCCCAGCTGTGAGGACCAGGACCTGCCTCCCCGGAATGATGTTGGTGAGAAGAAGGCAGGGCTTGGGGGCCAGTCTCCTGGTCTCAAGAAGGAAAGAGGCTGGGCGCCCAGACCCCAGATTCCCAAGGGAAGAAGGGGCTGCAGGCTCCGAGCTTACAGGTTTAGAGAGATTGACTTGCCCTTTGACATTGATCGAACCCCCTCTCCACTCTAGGGCTGTTTCCCCATCTGTGCAGTTTCCAAGGCAGTTGTAAGTGTGCACAGCTGGGTGAAACCATTTCTTGATTGGGTTAAAACTGTCGTCCCTCAGACCCACCCCGAAAGCGTGTGGATTCCCCCATGCTGAGCCGTCACGGGAAGCGGCGTCCAGAGCGGAAATCCATGGAAGTCCTGAGCATCACGGATGCCGGGGGTGGTGGCTCCCCTGTACCCACCCGACGGGCCTTGGAGATGGCCCAGCACAGCCAGAGGTGGGAGCCCCTGTCCCTCCAGGAGGATCCCCAGTCCCTGGGTCTAGGAGTTCAAGAATCTAGCCCCAGCTCTACTTCAAATGTGCTGTGCCCTTGGGACAATTCACCTCCCCTCTCTGGGCCTCATTTCCTCACCTGGAAAGACTGTAGAAGTGAGGAAGCATCTGTGGTTTCTGAAATCCTCCCATCTGATTGGTTGTTTTTTTTTTTTTAATCTATCCGGGTAACAGATCCCGCAGCGTCAGTGGAGCCTCCACGGGTCTGTCCTCCAGCCCTCTAAGCAGCCCAAGGGTAAGGCCAGGTCCCCAGTGGGATTTAAGAAGGGGAAGCGGGTGGAGACATGGAGCAAAGATTGAGTAGCAGAAACAAGTCCTGTGCAGCCTTGAGACTAGCTTCCTTGTCCCTGGAAGGCCAAAGAAAAGGCCTCCAAAGTATTTTGGTCCATTGGCCATTTCTACCTCCTTAGGGTTGCATGCCTGAAGTGTTCATTTACTGATTTTACAAAAGTTAGTTGAGTGCCTGCTGTGTACTAGCCTCTGCACGGGCTGGGTTTTCAGCCAAGAACATGATAGAAAGTCTTTGCCATCCTTCATTGGGGCCTGGGAAGGAGGCTAATTGGACTACAAGTTCCAGTATGCACCGGGCCAGTCTCCGTGAGTGTGCGCGAGTGGGGCTCCTAGAGCCTCCTGGGAGTTGTAGTCCGCTCGCTCATCTAGGTCTCCACTTCTCTGCAGAGTCCGGTCTTTTCCTTCTCACCGGAGCCCGGGGCTGGAGATGAGGCCCGAGGTGGGGGCTCCCCGACTTCCAAAACGCAGACGCTGCCTTCTCGGGGCCCCAGGGGTGGGGGCGCCGGGGAGCAGCCCCCGCCCCCCAGCGCCCGCTCCACACCCCTGCCCGGTCCCCCAGGTTCCCCGCGCTCCTCCGGCGGGACCCCCTTGCACTCACCTCTGCACACGCCCCGGGCCAGTCCCACCGGGACCCCGGGGACAACACCACCCCCCAGCCCCGGCGGTGGCGTCGGGGGAGCCGCCTGGAGGAGTCGTCTCAACTCCATCCGAAACAGCTTCCTGGGCTCCCCTCGCTTTCACCGGCGCAAGATGCAGGGTATGGGGACACGGACTGCTGAGTCATAATGTGGGGAGAGGGCTAGGGACTGAAAACCTGGCCCCAGGGATGTCCCTCTGGCGTATCTAGAGAGGAAGGAACTGGGGACCTGGATTCCCCCGTTCTAGAGAAGAGGGGCTTTGGAGCAGACGTGCCCCTGTTGGGGAGAGAGGTGGGGCCTCTAGCCCTGGAGTAGGACCCTGAAAGGCCCTTCCCCGGGGCTCTGGGTCACCTCCCATTGGCCTGTGGTCTGTGAGCCCCGCCCAGGGGGCGTGCCTAGGCCGAGGCTGCAACCCGGGCTCTGGAACACCTGGGAGGAGGCCAGTGTAGACCTGTGTGCTGGCGACTGCGACGATGGACAGGTATTGACCACGTTCTCTGCCTTCCCCCTACCAGTCCCTACCGCTGAGGAGATGTCCAGCTTGACGCCAGAGTCCTCCCCAGAGTAAGTCTAACCGGGAAGGAAAGGGTGGGGATGGAGGGGGTGCCCTTGGCGCCTTCCTAACCATCCTCCAACCATCCCTCCCACTTAGGCTGGCAAAACGCTCCTGGTTCGGGAACTTCATCTCCCTGGACAAAGAAGAACAAATATTCCTCGTGCTAAAGGACAAACCTCTTAGCAGCATCAAAGCAGACATTGTCCATGCCTTTCTGTCGGTGAGGGGCCTGGGTCCCTGTGGATCATGGCCACCACAAAACTGCAAGTCCCAGCAGCCTCTGGGGCTAACCACTTTGGAGGCCTGGCTACCTCCTGGGTTTTATGGCCAGAGGGGTAGAGGTCAGTAGGCAGGAAAGACTTACTGTGGCCAGAGATCTGGAAGTGGTGAGACCGGATCCTGAATTGCAATTTCCCAGATAATAGTGTCCCTGAGGATGGGTGAGTTCCCATTCCCCTACTGCGAAACTTCCCAGCCAGTTTTAAGGCTGCCCCCATTTCTGGTCTGTGGTTTTTTGCTTGGGGGCCGATGGGACTTAGATTTTTCTGTAACAGATATGGCTATGGGCAGCATTTGGAAAAGGAGCAAGCAGTGTTTCACGTGGTCTTGGAGGCTGAGGCTGTCACCCAGACATCAGAGCCACGTTAGGATTGAGTTGTCTGACCATTTGTCCATTAATCGCTGATAGGACAGAGAAAGCTACAAGTCCTTGCAGGCAAAGGGGTCTCCCAATGCGTTTTCTGTCCGTCTTTCGCTCCAGTGGCTCATGGGACTTGTAGTTCCTCAGCCAGAGCTGGTTGTGGGGCTGGGTATCCATTCCCAGGGCTCACCTCTTCCTGTGTCCTCACCTCGCTCAGATCCCCAGCCTGAGTCACAGTGTGCTGTCACAGACCAGCTTCAGGGCCGAGTACAAGGCCAGTGGCGGCCCCTCCGTCTTCCAGAAGCCCGTCCGCTTCCAGGTGGACATCAGCTCCTCCGAGGGCCCAGAGCCTTCCCCGAGACGGGACGGCAGTGGAGGTGGCGGCATCTACTCCGTCACCTTCACTCTCATCTCCGGTGAGTGTCTTGGCTAGGCTGCCCTTCGCCCAGTGCTGGGACTGTTTACGACAGCTGAGATAGTGTAGGGGCCCAGGAGGGCAGCAGCAGCAGGAGGAAATGGTGTTCAGCTGGTGCTGACTCACTGTGATCCTCCTCCCCACACAGACCCCCCACAACCCCATCCTCTATTTCCCCATTCTCTCATCAGCATTTCCCCAGGCATTTACAGTGAAAATAATGAATGTATTATCTCCCTGAAGCTTCCAAGCAGCCTCTGAGGTGTTAGTAATCACCCATTTTACAGAGGAGAAAACTGAGTCATAGGGAGGTCAGTGGACTTGCCAGAGTCACGGAATACACTGTGGCTCAAGAACAGAAAATGAAACACTGCATGTTCTCACTCATAGGCGGGTGTTGAACAATGAGGACACATGGACACAGGGAGGAGGGCACTACACACTGGGGTCTGTTGGGGGGAATAGGGGAGGGACAGCGGGGGGTGGGGAGTTGGGGAGAGATAGCATGGGGAGAAATGCCAGATATAGGTGAAGGGGAGGAAGGCAGCAAATCACACTGCCACATGTGTACCTATGCAACAATCTTGGGGTTCACATGTACCCCAAAACCTAAAATGCAATTAAAAAAAGAAAAATAAAAATAAAGAAAATGAGTAATAAATATCATCATACAGATAAAACAAAAAGAAAAGAATACGCTGTGGCTGAGCTGCAGCCCGACCCAGGCCTCCTGACCTTCCTATTACTTTAAGATGGTAGATCCAAAGGGCAAAGACACAGCACTGCTGTCTGTTATCAGTCTGCGCGGAGTAGACATCACGTAGACATCACCAGTCGACGGCAGTGCTTGCTCCTGCTGGCAGCCTCAAGGACTTTAACTCCAGATAGCCATGACCAATTGAGACTTGGCACAAGAGCCGGGCGCAGTGGCTCAAGCCTGTAATCCCAGCACTTTGGGAGGCCGAGGCGGGCGGATCACAAGGTCAGGAGATCAAGACCATCCTGGTCAACGTGGTGAAACCCTGTCTCTACTAAAAATACAAAAATTAGCTGGGCATGGTGGTGCGTGCCTGTAATCCCAGCTACTCAGGAGGCTGAGGCAGGAGAATTGCTTGAACCCAGGAGGCGGAGGTTGCGGTGAGCCGAGATTGCGCCACTGCACTCCAGCCTGGCGCCTGGCGACGAAGCAAGACTCCGTCCCCCAGAAAAAAAAAAGACTTGGCACAAGAAAGGGAAACCACCGAAATGCCTTACTGCCAATTCT